TTTTATTGTAATATCTAAATATTTGATGAACTTGCATATTATCTTGAATGGTCGGTCGTATTTCAAAGGAAAGTTTCATTTTATTTTTACGTGATTTTACATTGTTTAAACACAACTCGATCAACCCGAACAGGTTGGGTTGAGTTGGGTTGGGTTGAAAATTTTCAAACCGCCAACATTGGGTTGAGTTGTTAAAATGACTTTAAACCGATCAACCCGGGCCGTGAGCACCCCTAGTACTCGGGTTACCGATGGACCCTAATCTCCGAGCAGGTTAAATGTTCAAACATCATCAAATGTGATAAACGTAAATATTTGTCATATATAAATACTATATATTTAAAGTCGAGAAAAATCCAAAAAAACCAACCAACTTTCTCATTTTAAATGATTAAGTGCTTAAATTACTTTTTTGAATACAAAAATAATTAAATTTTTTTCATTTTGAATGATTAATTTTTTTTTTTGGAGGATGTGTAAGTTTATTTGTTTTTTTTGTCGTGTATAAATATTATATACTTCAAAAAAACTTAATCATTCAATGATATAATATTTATATACGACAAATACTTGCATACATTTCTCAGCATTGGTGAGGTTTGATCTTTTAGCTAACGTTCTATTAAAATTGAAGTTCGGGACCGTTCAATTAGGACCACCTTCAAAAGGTCTAAGCTTGATTGTTATAAGTTTGATTAGTTACGAGTTTATCTCGAGCTCGAGTTTAATAATTCTTAAGCTCGAGTTGATCTCGAACACACAGTAGAACGCATTTAACTTATTGCACTAACGTTTGACTCGACTTGTTCGAAAACACGATTCAATTTTTCGAGTTGAGCCGAGCAGATCATTCAAGCATACGTTTTTTCAAGCAAAACATGCTCATATATTTACCAATTATACTATAAAAAAATATCGGGCTAAAGCTGATAAACGAGTTAATCGATCGCAAGCTTGAACCCGTAAATGAGCATGGAGATCTAGCTTGATAACTCCAAAAATATCCAAGCTCGAGCCTTACATTGAAATCGAGCTCGAGTCTATTATTAATTTTTTGAGTCCAACTCGATTAACCTACTACTAGTCCCTTTCTTTCTATCACGATATATGAAGTTATTCAATACCGATGGTGTGCGAAAATAACGAACCAAAAATTTGTCGCAGTTGTTCTTATTTCGTATCGAGAAAAAACATCGAACTGACAAAAAGACGTAAACGACCTCATTCGTTGCAAAACGAGCGTTTTTCTCGGTTTGCTATCTAAATGTTGTAACCGCCCACGACCTATATTCCTCAAGATATGTTTTGAATTACCCACGTCGAAGGCCATGAATCCGACTCCGACTCCATAAATCGATAGAAAAAACGACTCTTTTGGTCTTGAAAGCTACTCATGAAAACACGTCGACTTCTATACCGGTTTTATGGTTTTGCCTGCTCATGCCAATATAATCGTATTAGTTATCCAAAAAAAACCCAATGTGTGTGTACACACACATATATATCAGGTTCTACAAGAACAGTAACTAAACAAGAGAATAAAGAAAACGGTCAAATCACGTGTGATTACACTAAAATCATGTGTAAAATCACATGTGATTTGCGTTGATTGTCAATGTGAAATCACATGTGATTTTGCACGTGATTTGGCCGTTTTCGTGTGCTCTTGTTTAGTTATGTTCTCATTTGAACCTCCCTTATATATATACATATTTTTTTTTGTGGGGGGGGGGGGGGGGGGGGCTCATTTGAAAACCTTTAAAATTGTGATAACCTTGAGAATTGGTGCATCATGTGCTATTTTACAGGCTTGGATTTAGTGTATCATTAACATATATTTGTTTCATAATGTGTTAGTTTCGCATATATTTGTTTCACAATGTGAACATGTTTCATGTGTTTATGCAACAAAAAATACAACTAAAAAGTTGCACATTGTGAACTGAATACATATGAAACAAACACATTGTGAAACAAATATATGTTAATCAATATATTAGATTCTAGGCTTAGATGAAAAAAATCATGTGAAACAATACCTTAAGATAATAGTTCTCAGAATTATCACAATATATGGGGTTCCCAAATGATTAAGCATACATATACATATACGTGTAATTATATGTATACATATACATATACACGCTTCAAAAAGAAGGCGGTTTACCTGGGAATAAATGAAAGTTCCAAGGATAGCAATAGCGGCTCCAAGCGCGTTAACGGGTTGGACGGGTGTGCGAAAAATGATAATCGAAGACACGATAACGGAAATTCGTTTCATCGTGTTTCCGACACTAAATGTCAAAGGCGATATTTGATCCAAAGACATATACGATACTTGATTGTACAAGTGATAGAACACGCTTTGTGCGACCACCCACCTGAATCGGCAAATGCAAATCAACTTCAGCACCGAGATCGTAAACTACTCCCCCGTACCAAAATAAACGTAAACAATGAACAAGGAAAACAGTTGTAGAAACATGTAATTATTACACTTTCTAACAAGTAAATGACAATTTTACCCTTAATAATTGAGGAAGTAATGAATTTCTCCATCTCATCGTCAAGCATAAAACTGGAAAAGTGGATACTTATTTTTTAAAAGTGAACACTTATTTTGAGATGTAAGAGGTATATGTTTTTTATTTTACGGGTCCCATCTTAATTCTCGTATAAAACCAAACGAGCTGGGTTGTTTGGTTGGTTTTCCATTAATAACTGTATTAATAATGTTGTTTGTGTGGATTAAACTGTCTGTATAGATTGAGAAGGTTTTTTGTTTGGGAGGGTTTTTTCATATATGAAAGGAACGTGTTTTTTAATTGGGTAGGGGCAAGTTTGGAAAAAACTTGGCTTTGTGCATAAACCTCACTCCTAGAAGCTTACTGAATAAGCCACTTTCTATATCATTAAGCTACTACCAAATAGTCATATATAACTCGCCGAATAAGCTGCGAGTCCCATTAAGCTAATTAAGTTGCTAACAAGTAGACCCTTAGTATACCCCACCAGGGGAGGCATCTAGAGGGTGAGATGGTCAAACCAAACTAACCGTAAAGAAATTCGGTACGACATAATGGGAAAGTGACGAGAGTTACCATACGAAGTTGGGCCCGATTTGCGTTACCGCCGTTTGCCAACCGGCTTCCCACACTTGCGGGCCTTCCATAGCGATTGCGAACGGGGTTAAAATCAACAACGACAACATCGACAAGCACGCATAGTAGTTCATCCCGCTAACCGATTTGCCCTTCATTCCTTTTTTCGAAAATATATTTCGAAACACGAATGCCAAATTCGATATCATTGCTCCCATGAACCCTAAAATGAATAAACACAAAACCGAACGTTTCAACTCAAAGTTTGCACATTGAACTTAAAAAAGTGACAGAATTTTCGAATTCTGACCATTGTTCTTGCGAAAAAAGCCATAACATGACTACCGTTTGCCAAGAACGGATGATTTTTGGCAAACTGTAAAAACGTATTACAGAAAACATCGAGCTTTGCACTTTTTGTCCAAAATCGCTCATTTTTGCAAAGCGTAGTTTCTTGTATCCACGAAAATGGGTGATCGACGTTTTTCGACCACTGTATTTGGTTTTTTTGTTGCAAACAATACAACGTTCTTGTAGAAACAACCGGCATACCATATTTTGTCCAGATCTAATTGCTCGTTCTTACAAAGGGTGGCTTTTTTTTGCGTTTTCACCTTGGAATCGGAGCTCATTTATATCGAATTAAAATCCACAAATATGCATTTTATACGTTACGTAAACTAACCTGTCATATTGAAGTTAAGCTCGGTAAAAGCAGATAGCGCGCAACCTCCAATGATTGGCAGAAGTGACAAATAAACGCCAATGGGAAACGTCTCGCCAAGAAAGAACTTCGAAACGAATACACTAAAAGCAGGTTCGCTGCTTTTAATAATGTGCGTAAACGAGACTGCAACTTTTGACATACTGATCGTAGCAGCTACATGTCCAATCGTATGCGCTAAAGCGACCTGCGTTATTCAAAGCAAATTCCTGTTTAGAACCATATAAAGTATCGACATTTAGACCATTTTTCTTTCTAATCGCAAATGGGACTAGACCCGATGCATAAGAATGTCTAAAGGGTCATTGGCTCAGTGGTACCCTCGTTACTGGTAGAGCCTAACATCCTGGAAGGTCAAGGGTTCAAATCTCACCAGAAGTGTGCACAAGTATTTACTTACAAAAACGTCTTCAAAAAGTTGAACTAACCATGAGGGAATCGTAACAAAATGGATTCAGGTCCATCTGAAAAGTAAAAGACGCACGGGCCCAAGTAAAAACAAACCAAACATACCCCATATATGTCCCTGCGTGTTGCATCAGCGGTAGGATGGTAGGCATCCGGAAAGGAAAGAAGGTCCACGGTTCAAGATCGGGCACTACCACCTGCCACTGCACTCGCACTGATTTACTCTCCATGATAGTTGTGGGATCGGTGGGATGGGGCGCTCTAGAGTAAAAAGATCTCGGGAGGGTAAGATTGGTAAGATGTACACAGACCTTTCCTCTGCCCCAGGTGGGGGAGGGGGGAGGTTGAGAGACTGTTTCTGTAAAGAGCCCCGCTTAAGAACATATGGGCCAAGTGGGAGGAACATTTTGGATCTCTTCACAACTTAAATACTCGACTTTCGTTCTAGACTTCAAAACAATCGCAATCGATCAAACAGGCTTCTGTTTATCAGTTTATGAACTTATTTCCCTCTTAATTCATTTCTGAGACCTAAAAACAGTGATTCAAGTTTTAATCCCATGATCAAAACTATGTTGAAGTGGTTTTCTTGATAGATGTTCTTCGGTATTTTATATAATTTCCCCAAATCTATAAGTTCGTTAGGAACCTAAAATCTTAGGTTCTTAATCAATTTTAGGTTATACACGACGCATGGCATATTGAATATTGTAGCATATTCATCATCCATGATGAATAACTCGTCTATAATACATTCATATTCATCATGAATGTGTGATTCATGATGAATAACACTTTTGTATTCATCCTGAATGTGTATTATTCATTGTAAATATCCATCCGGAAAGTGTTATTCATTGTGAATACTCATCCAAAAGAGAGACACACGAACCTTTGTGGACGTTTCCTGGGTTCCCAATCAATTTTGGGTACCTAATGGAACTTTTTCTCTTCATGCATACACACACACACACACACACATATATATATATATATATATATATATATGTGTATATATATATATATATTATATTTATGATGATGTAAACAAATAATCAACAAAACAAATCACTATTTGCATACCGGAAACAGAGTTTTCCAAAACTCAACATCAGTCTTTGGAGCTTCAACCAGTTTAGTACCCCATGAAACCAACATAATCAAAGATCCAGCAGCCAAAGAAAGAGTTGATGTCAGCCATGGAAATGGAAAAGCATTCAAGACCTTCTTGTTATAGATGTTAAACACCACATTCAAAGACCACCAGGTTGCAAAATACAACCCAATTTTCATCTTCTCAGATTGATCCACTTGCAGGTCCATCTTGATCTCCAATGGCTGCGAATGATCAGCCTCATAAGCATTACACACAATCTCATCACTCCTCCTTCCAATCGACCCACCAAAATCTTGAATTTGTGAAATGTAAATGGGTTTTTTGTGGGTGATTGAAATTGACGATGGTTTAACATTGAAAATGATGGGTTTTGGACGTAAAGACTGGAACTTTGATACGATTGAAGAAGAACCCTTTTTGGGTATTGGATCAGAACATGAGAAGGATGGTTTCGAGGTTTTTATAACGCAATTCATTGTGTGTTTGTGTGTGAAATTTGAGATTTGGGAAGTGTGAGAAATTGGGGTTTTTTTAGGGGAAATTTGGGTTTGAAATCTCAGAATTTAACAAGACGAAGGACGGAGATGACGAGATGAGAGATTGATGAAAGTGAGATTTGAGAATGGGTGGGTTAACGACGACGGAGGAGGGCGGAGGTTGGGAGGAGAATCGGCGGCAGCGGCGGAGAAAAGTATGGGTACAGGTATGTGTTTCACGGAACCCCATGCATTGTAAGAAGAAGACACCTAAAACCCATATATATACTTGAACAAGAAAATTACATTAAGGTCCTTGTATTTTGCTACCCTTTGCACTTTTTTCATTTTTTCATAAAATTTTAAATATTTAAGTACTCGGATAACCAGTTGATGACTAATTTTAGATTAAAAAAATTCATGTTACTAACCACGTCAGCAAATAATACAGAATTAGATACCACATCACTCCTCACATCGGCATGATAAGCGATTAATGTTTCAATCGTTTACCTAGATACTTAAATATTTAAAACTTTACATTTTAGGTACCAAAATAAAAGTTTTAAAAATACGTTATCCAAAATATGAATCAAGTTAAAGTACGTTATAATTAAAAAAAAAGACAAATTAGTTTTTTATTTATTTCACAAATGAGGGTGGTGTTAAATATCATTTTATATATAAAAAATAGTGTATTTGGATTCTAAAATTATAGAATATTTAAATAATATAATTAATGATAAAATCTGTAAAATAAAGAATTTGTTTGAGTTGAATGTAATTTATTTTAGAGATTTTGACTTTTGGTTCTCTTTTTTAAATAAATTATAAATAATCTGTTGGAGATGCTTTAATAGTTTTAGAATGTGTATTTATTACACTTTTTAACTAGTAAAAAGTCAACTTTTATCATTAATTACAAAGAGATAAATTTGGGGGTTGTTATTTGCACCCTCACCTATTAAAAAGGTCAAAAAAAGACCCATTAATAACATTAAATAGCCTAAAAGTTTGAAAATGTTTTTTTTCTCTTATATCCCCCACTCTTACTTTTTTTTTAAATAACAGATAATAATAATTATTAATTAATAGTAATTATAATTTTTATTTATATTATATATTAATCAAATTAAAACCAATAAATTGGAAAGACAATAAGCTTTGTTATTTATAAACAATAATATATCATTTATTTTATAATTTTATAAATTTTAACCATATGTATATAGTCGTACAGGTTGTCCTGATAAAAATCGAATAAAAACTTTAAAAATTCATATGTAAATTCTTAATTTTCATTTTATCTATATTTTCATATAATATATCATTAATACTTTTGTAACTTTAAAAATTCAGAAAATAATTCATCAATTTTTTCCGACTTTAAAACTTAAAAAGTAACTAGTCAATTTTTATTTAAGTTTTTTGAATATTTAAATAAATATTTCATCAGTTTTTAACAATCTTTGAAAATTCAGATAATAACTCGTTGTTTTTAATTAAAAATTCAAATATAAATTATTTTAAATTGTATTATGTTTTTTTTATAAAAAACAATATTGTTATAATAAAAATATATAGAAAATAAATTTTGAAAACATAAGTTTAGAGGTCAATTAAAGCAAGCTTCCAACAGAGCAAAAATGTTGTCAAGCATCGATATAATAAACCACACTTCCACCAGCTACATGGTTTTATTTCATTGCATGCGTTAGAATTAATCTTCAAATAATTTGAGCGGTCAAAAGATCTTGGTTTAGTTTCGGGAAACTGTTAATGTTAACTGCGTACATGTTACGGGTTACCATGTGCACATGAACATACATATTATTTCAATGCATGCCAATCTATTCAACTTGAATCGATTGACGAATTTTGGAGGAAACTTGATTTATCACCGTGTATATCCGTGGAAGATGATGAAACGCAGATGTTTACTGATAACTTCAAAAAAAAATAGTCGAGATCAATGAAGTCCAGTTTTCTAAGAAAAACAAGGGAGGTAATCGCGCCTTGGACAACTCGTATATGTGAACCGACTGTTCATACAACAACTCATGGTCGTCCCTTATTGAAGAGTAAGGTTTAGGGGTGAGCAGCGGAACCGGGTACCCGGCTATAGAATTGGAACCGCATTGGAACCGCCGGTTCCAGAACCGAAACTGATATGAGTGGTTCTGGTTCCGGTTCCTAAAATACGGAACCGATTGAGAATGGTTTCGGTTCTCAAATTTTCAGAACCGTTACCCGCCGGATACCCGGTATTTTTCAATAAAAAAATAATTATTATTTTTTAATACCAAATTTATATTAGGTTTACATCTTAAAAGCACGTCGTCATCTTCAATCTTCATCTAAATTCTTCATATAAAATGATTCGTATTTTTTCAAATTGTGTGTTCACTTGGATTCATAGTATGTAATCGTTAAACTTTAAACAATTACCATTATAGTATGTAATCGTTAAACTTTGAACAATTACCATTATAGTATGTAATCGTTAAACTTTGAACATTTTCTATTAGTCTATTACGGTTTGTAATCGTTAATCAATATTTGTAACCATTATTCTGTATAATTTGTATTCTTGCTTATTTATTTAGTGTTTTGGCAATGTTTTATTTTTTATTTATAAATAACAAAATTTTAATATTTTAGGAAGCGGGTACCCGGAACTGGAACCGGAATCGGTTCCGGTTCCAAAAATTTAAGAACCGCTCTAACCGGTTCCGGTTCCAATATCTCAAGAACCGCCGGTTCCGGTTCCTGTCAAAAAGGACGGGTACCCGCCTATGCTCATCCCTAGTAAGGTTGTAAAAAAAAAGTCGTGTCAACCCACCCCACAATTAAGGGTAGAAAGAAAAGTAAGCATTTACAGATGTTTGGTTAGAGGTATTAAATAATAATTAATGAGAATGAAAATAAAAATAAATGTTTGTTTTTGTACAGTATAATGGGTCCATTCCCTCACAGGTCCAAATACCCCTTTATTTTTATTTTTTTAATCAGTAATTTACTGAAGAGTCTGGTTTTTTACAATTTAATAACTCGTATGAATTTATAAATTAGTTTTTCATGTGTTATATGAAAACAACGTGTGTGAAAATACAATGTTGTCTAATACGTGTGAAAGGTTTAAAGAAGAAGTTTTTTTTTCCACACGTATGCTTTCTAAACGTTTCACATATGAAACGATATTGTATAAACATTGTTTTCCACTGTGTTGTTTCATATGTGAAACAATACATAAAAATTGGTTTATAAGTTTGTACAGTTTATTAGATTTGTAAATAAGGGTTGGGTTCTAATGACAATAATAGTTAAGGTCAGAAACGTAAGAATAGAGCTCTGCGTACAGATTTGTTTGCACCTTCTAACTACTGTCTGAATCTTCGTTCAATAGTTTCCATACAGCAAACTGTTTAATCAAAACCCGTGTATTACTTCATGATAAAATGTTTACTACACATTCTTAAAGTTGAAGTTTAGAATTTAGTAGTGTATACGTACACCTGAACCTTCATATATTGAACTGCATAAAAGCTAACTGATATTCAATTAAAAAATAACTCATATATTTCTTTTAATAATGATTCACACTAAAAAAAGGTTGTATCATACTATATACACGGGCAAACAACTAGGGGTGCTAATGGGTTGGGTTGATCGGGTTGAAGACATTTGAACAACCCAACCCAATGCTTGCGCTTTGAAAAATCTTAACCCAACCCAACTCAACCAAAGCCATACAGGTGGGTCGGTTTGATAGTTTGGTACATAAAATATTCTTCTAATATTGAGTATTTTCTACTTGTAATTTTTTTTGTTCATCATCAACCATTTGATACAGCTTATTTATACTTTTTACATATATCACATTCAGTTAATTTTCTCAATTTACATATATATGCTCATAGTTACTGAACATATATACGAATGAGTTGTATAGAGATGTAAATAGATTGAAAATATGTGTATATGAAAAGCGTACATGATAATGTAACTGTGTAATGTATATATTCAATAGAAATGCACCAATCATATTAAATCCAATAAATAAAAGGATATTGAGTTTATCGGGTTGGGTTGAGTTCAAATAATAGTAACCCAATATCAACCCAATACCTACGGCTAGAAAAATTTATAGCTCGATTAGACATCAGGTTGCTTCGAGTTGAGTTATTTATCGTTGGGTTTGGTTGATCGAGTTGGTCGGGTTTTTTGAGCACCCCTATATACAACCACAGGTCTGAAATCATATAAGAACTCTTATAAACTATATGAACCAATATTAACCACAATATTTAACTTTCATGATTATCTTTATTATCTTTTCAAGAGTTTCTTGAAAAACGCATTTCAAGTGAATAATATGTACAAACTTTTATGATGACAGAACTTTTGAAGTGAATTACATTTTTTTCATTAAATGCATATCTAATCCACTATGCGAGCCGATTAATCACATAGCAACTTCCCGCTTCATGGGTAGTCCAGAGTCACCGCATTTGAACTTCTGTGGCCACAATAGATTATTATTTCTTATTGGATTCGAACATGAGGGCTTCAGACGCTTTTGACATTTGGAGCCCAAGTTCAAACCAATCGGGCACAACCCTTGTAGTAAGGGACGGACCCATATATATATATATTTTTTCAAACTGTAGCACCGTTTCATTATAAGAAACAAATACACATAATTTTTTTTCAATCAGTGACATCATTTGACTAACAAAATGACACTAACGTGATTTGAACTTGAGTCTGAGGTGGAATAAAAGCCTTGCAAACCAATTCTACCAAACAAAACTTATTCTCATTGAAGTTTCAAAATACATACGATGACACACAACAGATTAATACGGTTGCACCTTTCATGAACCTTATTTTTTTTACCCTTCAACGGAGGAATAATACAGTGGCACGTGCCACTGTATGCACCACTATAGGTCCGTCATTGCTTGTAGTTGTGAATTATATTTTTCGTCTATGTGGTTTGGTCTTTTTAACAATTTTTTTATCTGTGATTACAATTTTTTAAGAGTTGGTTCATGAGGATTCAGTTAAATTATTTAACGACGTAACTCGTTAAAGAACTGCAATAATACGAGCTTGTTAAAAAAACGCAACCATAAAGACATGATTTGTCAAAAATTGTAACTATAAGGATATATTATGTTAAGTTTTCAAAATAGAGATGTGAACCGTTAAAAACATAAAACATAAGGACGAAAAATGCAATTGTTGTGAACGATTGTATTGGGGGCATTTATGTCCATATTTGAAACTTAAAGGGCTAGAAATATAAATTCCGTACTTTCAAAGATGTACGCTTCCACCCCTCCTTTCTCTGCAACTCCAATTTCCCTTTCACAAAACGCTCGCTGCCCTCCTCCATACGCGATGCTTAAGCCATGAACTCCAACTCTCGAAAAGCTTCATCAAAACCCTAATCCTAAACCTAATTCAATACACCATTCGAAGGTCAATTTGAACAGCAAAGAAGAAAAGGAAGTCCGAAATGGAGGGTGCGAGTTTTTTGAGTAGTAGAAGTATCGGATACAGGCCAGCGCCGAATGATTCCGTCGCGGCGTTAGCGAGTAACAATAATCAGAAGTCATTAACTCCGATTCTTGATCGGTTCAAGGTTTTGTTGAAGCAAAGGGAGGAAGAAATTAGGGTTTCTAGCGGGGGAGATGATGATATTGAAAGTCCGGTGCTTAGTACTGAAGAAATTGTGGAGTTATATGAAGATGTTTTGTCGGAGTTGATTATCAATTCGAAACCGATTATTACTGATCTCACGATAATCGCCGGAGAGCAGAGAGGACATGGTGCAGGCATTGCGGATGCAATTTGTGCTCGAATTATTGAGGTAATTGTGTTGTCTTCTGAAAATTCGTCAGGCTTAAGCTGTAGAATCATTTACATTATTCAATCATCGGATACATTGTAGTAGTATATTCAAGATCGGGTTCGCTATTGTTTATTGGGAATCGAATTTGTTGTCTTGAATGCCAAAGTTCATTGTGCTCTAATTATCGAAGAATCATGTTGCACAACATCATAAGCGATTGAATTAGAAATCTTTTTTAGTTCAAACGGTATAAAATGGACGTTATTTTGTCATTTGACACTTCAGAGTGGTGTCTTGAAGATTGGTCTGACTGATTATCATGATTCTTTGTCCAAAAAGGGTCTAAGGGCGTTTTTGTTGGCAGCTTGATGATCTTATGGGACTCGCAGCTTATTTTGGTTGGTTATACATGACTGTTTGGTAGTGGCTTAATGATATAGAAACGGGCTTATTCAGTAAGCCTATAGGGGGAGTTTTATGCAGATTGCCAGTTTTTCCCAAACCTGTCGTTCCCAATTAAAAAACATGCTCATTCCATCTATGAAAACCCTCTCAAACAAAAACCTTCCTAATCTATACAGAGAGATTAATCCACACAAACAACTTTATATATACAGGACTCAATGGAAAACCAACCAAACTGCCCCTTTGAAGTTTGAAGATACTCATTCTGTTGCATAAAGACATTCCAGGCATTGTTTTTCCTGTCAGTTGATGTGAAATTTATTGTTTACTTATTGCCTGGCGAGTTTGGTGTTTCTTTTTGATGGCTAATTGGATTTTGTTTTTTGTCTTCAACTTAAGTTTACAACCTTGGGGCTGGTGGTCTGTACCCCTTCAAATGGCATGTAAATTGAACTAGTAGACCCTGTTAAGTTTTTTTCCTTCTGTTTTCTGTTTTTTATTGTTTAAACTTTTATTGGATGTTTTGAGTTTTAATTAGCTGAGCAGTTGTATTTGGAATACCTGTTTAGCTACTAGCCCTTGGAATCGGCTGAAAACAGTCTTAGCCAAAAGTTCTCAATCACCTGTGGAATTGAATTCTTCAATTTTATTAGGTGACTTGTCATGTGGCTTAAAAATTCATTTTAGTCGAACTTGGAAGATGGCGGCAATTGTTTTTTTCATCATCAAGCATTTTATCCGAACTGTTTGGAGTGGGAAAGATGAAGGAATCATAAAATGTGAAACTCAGCAGAAAACATAATTAGTTGACCTTTAACAAGTTATATGTCATAGATGATAGATGAAAAATGGAGATTAATCCAGGACAATGTGACATGTCAAAATGAGGGGCTGCGCCATCAAACCAATTTTGAAAATTTTGTGATTGCTGTTTACTCTTTCTCTCTGGTCCCAAGTGCTTTCTCTTAGTCCAAATCATGTGTTCTGCTTGCTAATTTTTCATTATTTTCAGCTATCAAAATAGTTAGCTTACTTTGGCGATTCTGAAAAACTTTATCTATTATGTTTGCAATTCTAGATCACATTTCGTATGTTACACTAAACAGAATAAGCAGTTTGAATTTGATGGACGTGAATATGCCATCATAAGTCTTATGTCTACATATTTTGTGGTGTTTTGTTCTTTATAACATCACAAGTCTTGGATTCTTGATGTTGTTATACCTAATTCTATACGTGCTGCTCATTCGTCTGTCTACTTGTAAAACATTTCATGGGCATCCTCTTGGCATTTTTTCGATGTTTATTTGAGTTTAAAGTTCATTTTTCCATCTAGGTTCCAGTTGAGCAAAAACTTCCTTCTTTATATCTTCTGGATAGTATTGTCAAAAATATTGGTAGAGAGTACGTGAGACACTTTTCTGCCCGCTTGCCTGAGGTTAGTGGTTTAAAATTTGGTACATTTACACTATGTAATTGTACAGTTTCAGATGTGGTATTCTGTTATTTTCATTTTTGTGATGACCTGCTCCTTTAGGTCTATTGTGCGGCATACAGACAAGTGCACCCAAGTCTGCATCCTTCCATGCGACATCTTTTTGGTACGTGGGCAACAGTGTTCCCATCTTCTGTTCTCCGCAAGATTGAAACTCAACTACAATTTTCCCCTCCATCAAGTTATCAATCTTCTGGTTTAAAAGATTCTGAATCTCCAAGACCAGCTCATGGTATACATGTCAATCCAAAGTACTTGGAGGCAAGACGTCAACTTGAAAGCTCCACTGCAGATAGTGTAAGCTTTTTGATGGAAAACCACTCTCTTTCTCCCAGCAGTTTATCTTTTAGATTCCCAATTGGGACAACTTTGTGTCAATGTAAGTAGTCTCTAGTATTTTTCTTTGTACCGTGAGAATGTGATGAAAGAATCAATAAAAAAGAATGTCAAAGAATAGTCCATGCTCCTAGACATATACTTCTGTTTTCCCCCTTTTTGGCTTCAGCTTTGTGCTGGTTGCATGTATGCAGAGTTTGCTAGTATTGTTTAGGGCCTGTTTGTTAGCAGCTTAATGAGCCTAATGGGACTCAACTTATTGGTTCAGCTATATATGACTGTTTGGTAGTGGCTTAATGATATAGAAAGTGGTTTATTTAGTAAGCTTNACAGGGGATGTTTAGTGTGTAGGGACTGGCAATGTTTATATAAGTGGAAAATAGAGGTTGCTTGGAGGGTCTGGTGGATACATATATACAATTTTCTTAGGGGGGGGGGGGGAGCTTTATGCAGAAAGCCAAGTTTTTTCCAAACCTGTCCCTCCCAATTAAAGAACACACTCATTCTATCTATGGAAAAACCCTCCCAAACAAAAACATTTTCCATCTATATGGACAGATTAATCCACACAAATAACTTTATACTACAGGACTTGATGGAAAACTGTATGTGAAGGGGCATAGCATGAGTCTTGACTACAAATATGACATTTGAAATGTTGACTAGAATTCCATTTCTAGTCACAGCAGTCTGAAGTTTTCTGTTTGCTGGACTGATGGGTTTTATATTTGAAAAAAAAAAAGAATAATTATGGGTTTGGATCTTTATTAGGGTTCTAATAACAGGTAAGGATGATTCACTAGTTTTCTTTCTTCTGGGTTGAAGCAATCCCCTGCTTTTTCCCACTATTTTATTTCATGCGTCAGTGATTTAGGGCCTTTTTGTTAGTAGCTTAATGAGCTTAATAAGACTCGCAACTTATTCGGTCAACTATACATGACTGTTTGGTACTGACTTAATGATATAGAAAGTGGCTTATTCAGCAAGCTTCTAGAGGGAGCTTTTTGCAGAAAGTCAAGTTTTTTCCAAAACTTTCCCTCCTAATTAAAAAACTTGCTCTTTTCATCGATGAAAAAACCCTCTCAAAGAAAAACCTCTCAATCTATACAAACAACTTTATCCATACATGACTTAATGGAAAACCAACCAAACACCCCTTACTGTTGGATGTAATCTTAAAGTCTTCCTTTTTTTAACATGATCCCACTGCTACTGTTTTCTAAATTGCTTTAAAGTGTTTAAAGTAATTTCTGTACTAGTATTTATATCTTCTGTTATTCCATGTAAATGTCTATTGCAATCATTGCAGAAAATTCAACATGCAAGAGCAAATTCAGCTCCCAAGATTCTTGGACAGCCTTGCACTGGATTTGATGAATACGAATCTGATAACGGGGAACAGTCATTGGGCTCAACTAGTCATATAGCTCGTCCGCTTTTTGGTCTTTCTCATGCCAGACCTCCATCACCAGCTCTTGAAGAATTTGCTATAGCCGATTCTCCTAGAAGGGTTGTTGAAGGAGCATCACCATCATATCATGGATATGGTTATAGACCTGGTGGTGTGACAGCCGGAGATGACGAACCACGTGACTGGCGGAGATCCCATCTTTCTGGTGCCTCACGGCAGCTTGAAGCTTCTACAACACATAGTGTAAGTAATGGATTCGATATTCAGAGACCCAGGGATTTGATTAACGCTTATGGAACAGATGAACGGAATAAAACGACAAACCAGAAGCTTCAACATGTGAAAAACTTAACGATAAATGGGTTAGGCAGTAAGGTTGGTGGACAGACATGGCAAAATGCTGAAGAAGAGGAGTTTGAGTGGGAAGATATGAGTCCGACTTTAGCAGATCGTGGTCGTGGTGGTGATTTATTTTCTTTACCGGGTAGCTCTAAAGCGGGTCATGCCCGTGGAGCCAACCGGTCTATACCCACAAAGACTGATTTCGGCAGACGGGATTGGTCTAGCCAGGAGCTGCTTCCTTCAGTTGCCCCCAACAATAGAGTTTCCTTGGTTAGTGCTAGTTCCTTTCTTATGTTCTGTTTATCTTTAATCATTTTATTGGACATGTGAACAATGGTATTTCAGACAGGTAGAACAGAACAGGACAGAGATGCTGTTCAACAATTGCTAAGAAAGAACTGGACATGGCAGAATGAATAACATGACCAATTTACCTTTGATGAGTTGTTTATATCTTTTGATTAATTTATATAATTTATTAAATTGTAATAAAACAAATATTTTTTATAAAAAAATATATCATTAGAAATTTTTTGTCGAGACGATTAAAATGACACAAAAATAAAAAATTTATGTAGTTTCTAATTTTTATTTTTTACCTTTTCTATATTGTTTTGTTATTATTAATATTTAATAAATTACATAAGATAACCACAATATAGAAACTGGAAAAAAATTGAGGACTGTAAAATAAAAGTTTAAAAAGCATAAAATACGATAAATATAATTTAAATAATGAATAAAATGTAAATAGGGAGGTGCATTTGATGGTTCAGAAGAGAATTAAGTTTTATTTTTAGTTATATTGGTAAAATATAGCTCTGTTCTACCTTGTTCCATGGGGTGGGGGTGTTCCACTCCTGTTCCACATAAAGTGTTGCCAAATGTGGAACAGTGATCCCTATTCTGTCTTATCCAGTGTACCAAACGCACCCTATGAGGTGATGTGGTTATATGTTATATAAATGGAATGACTAAAATTTCATGTTGTAAAGATCTTTATTTTGAATAGGCATGCTTTAGATCTTGCTAGACATAGAAATTAATATCTGTCTTTGTGCAGCCTGAGCGTGGATTAAAGCGGAAGATTGCTGGATTCCAAAATGAGGCTTCAGATATTCCAGTTCCACACTACCCACAAGAATCATCAAATCTTTCTCATGACCAGCCATGGGGAGCTCAGCATCATTATAATCCTCATGGGCGAAGGCCGCCTCCTCTCATCGATAGCTTTCTAGGTGCCAATCCACAACATCACTTGTCTTCGTTGCCCAGATTGAATTCATCAAGTCACGGTATGATGAATCCCGAGGCATCTATACCAGCATCAAAAGGAGCTTGGCGACCCCAAGTAAACATACAAAAATCTCAACCACTTCCCGTTCTGCCTTCTCTCTCATTTCAGAAACATGGTAGGAGTCAGTTTGACACGTTGAATGCTAGCAATTCAGCAGTAAATGACAATTCGTCGTTTTTGCATCAGCAGCAGTTTGATACTAGTGAAAGCAGATTGTCGAGCCAACTACCTCAACTCCCTAATCAGCAGGCTGGGTTCGCCCCCCATCAGCAAATCCCGGGCCAGAACACTAGGTTCTCATCTCAAGATCTTCGAAATATGGTATCAACCACTTTAGGTTTTAACCCATCTCATCTAGCATCGCGACCCATGATACGTGGGTATACCCCTCAAAGATTTGATGGCTCTGGGGGGGCTTCCTTGAATCCAGTTCCAGGAATGCAGTCATCAATGCCTTTTCATTTACATGGCGTAGGTGTGCCTCCTTTACCTCCAGGCCCCCCTCCGATTCCTCAACTTCCTCTATCAATTGGCCCGACACAGCCAGGTGGGGGCGCACTTTCTGGTTTATTTAGTTCTCTTGTGGCCCAAGGTCTGCTCTCACTGACCAAGACTCCTGAACAGGTACATATCAAATAACATAATTTACTTCATGACTTTTAATGTGTTCTTTCTAGAGCTGATCACTTGCACGCCGCGCCGGGCCGGGCCGGGCCTAACCTAATTTCCCGTGATCACTTGCCCATACCCACCCTATAAATGGGCTGGGCTTGCCCACGGGCTAACGGGCCTAAAAGTTTTATGTGTTCAAGAAAACGAACTTGTATAAAATCACAAGTTATGTAAAATAATTCAAAATACATGACAATTTTTCCAACTTAAAATTAGACATAAAAATATAACAATGTACATAATTTAGAATTGTTTTGCAAAATATGGAGTATCGATAAAGGAAATGACCAAATGAGGTAACAAGGAATTGATCAATTGAGGTAATTATGTTTTTACTTTTTAGATCTTTAAAAAATAATATTATTATGAGTCATAATTAAGTGGGAATTGATAAGCATCAAGAATTTTCAATTGTACTTGTAAATTTTAATTATAGAAGTTAATTATTACTCCCTCCGTCCCAAATCAAATGTCCACATTACTATTTTAGTGTGTCCCAAAATACCTGTCCACCTTCAAACTTCAAACGTAAGTTTCTAATTTCCCATTTTACCCTCAATTATGAGATGGAAAAGTCTCTCTTCAATCAAGGGTCAAAGTGTCATTTAGTTTATTAAAAATTGTAATAATTGTACATTTCTAAAACTATGTGCCATTTTCATTGTGGACATTTATTTTGGGACAAAATGAGTGTAAAAATATTAACTTTTCGGGCAGGCCTGCCCAATCTTTTTACATCGCCCTTGGGACAGAATGAGTGTAAATACTAACATTCCGGGCAGGACTGCCCAATTTTTTTACATCGCCCATGCCTGTCCAGTAATTTTAACAAGTCAGACCATGCCCGCCCATTTCTTCGAGAATGGTAGTCCAAGCCCGCTTTTCTAGCGAACCGGACAGGACTGGTCTAGTGGGCCATCCCGCCCGTAAACAGCTCTAGTGCGTTTCTTTCTCTATGCAACAGCCGATTGTTCTTAGTTTTGTAAGTCTATGTATAGGATTCCGTTGGGCTTGAGTTTGATCCTGATGTTCTCAAGACACGTCACGAATCTGCAATAATTGCGTTGTATGCTGATCTGCCCAGACAATGCAAAACATGCGGTCGCCGGTTTAAATTGCAAGAAGAACACAGTAGTCATATGGATTGGCATGTGACCAAGAATCGGGTATCGAAAAGCCGCAAGCAAAAGCCCTCTCAGAAGTGGTTTGCTAATGTTAGTTTGTGGCTTAGTAGTGCAGAGGCATTGGGAACCGATCCAGTTCCGGGATTTCTTAATCAATCTGAGAATGTTGTCGAAAAGAAGGATGATGAGGATATGGCTGTTCCAGCTGATGAGGATCAGAATGTCTGTGCACTATGTGGAGAACCGTTTGATGATTTTTACAGTGATGAAACAGAAGAATGGATGTATAGAGGTGCTGTCTACATGAATGCTCCGTCTGAATTAACTGTAGGCATGGATAGATCTCGGCTAGGCCCTATCGTTCATGCTAAATGCAGATCCGAGTCGACTGTGGCTCCTCCTGATGATTCTGGCAACAATGAACGGGTATGTAACTATCTTTCTTTGTTTTCGACTTCTCGTTTATGAAATAATAAGATTCTTGGTGCATATACAACATTTGTTATGTGATTTTTGCATCTTTCTTTCGTCGTATTCTAAGTTCACGCTGTTGTTTGCAAACACATGAATTAAAAAGATGAATATGATAGTTGTAGGGCCAATTTGTTAGCAGCTTAATGAGCTTAATAGGGCTCACAACTTATTTGGTCAGTTATACATGACTGTTTGGTAATGGCTTAATGATTTAAAAAGTCGCTTTAGTAAGCTTCTAGGGGAGAGCTTTATGCAGAAAGCCAATTTTTTTTGTCCTTCCTATTTAAAAAGCATGGTCATCCCATTTATGGAAAAAACCTTCCCAATCTATATAGACAAATTAATCCACACTGACAACTTTATCCATACAGGTTGTAATGGAAACCTAGCCAAACATCCCGTAGTCGCATTTGTTTATATCGTTTCCCATTAGTCGTGGGTCCCATCTTCATTTATCCCTAAATCAGCTAAATATATCTTCTCACACGATGTAATTGAGACCCACTAAATGAAATTGTAATTTATTCGACTATGCTTTTTTGTTGGACTTGCCTGAGGGAGGCACCTTATCAGTCATTAACGATCGTAGAAGTTCCTCATTTTCCAAATTTCTTGTGATTTTGCAGGTATTTAACGAAGATCGGATGCGTAGTTAGCACCAAGCTTAATCTGACTTTTAGGTCCTTATCTGTAAGTTAGAAATGAGTTTCTTCATGTGAATCTTGTTCTTACATCTCAGAGCCATGTACATGTATAGTTGGATAAAATGGATTACCCTTCGCATTAGCGTTCATCAAAAAGTCTGAACTGCCCTTTGCAGATTTTTTTTATCACCGTCATTCCAACATTTCCGTTTGCAGGATTCTTGTTTCTTAGACATACCAGTGTTCTAAATGGCTCGCCGCAGTAGGCGTTGTCGCTCAAGGCTTGTGTCTGATGTCTCGTTAAGCCCGTGGCATGCCATGGCCTAATGCACGGTTTTTGTAAGGCGATGTTTGATCTTTCTTACCTTTTTAATGTCTTATTTGTTAGTTTTTAACATGTAACCTAATCTAAATTGTTTAATATTATTGACACGTTGAGTGATAGTAGAAAACATATGTTATATACATATTATTATATATGATATAGAGATTTGCTGCCATAAGTCTTGAAAAACGTCGTGGCTCCTAAGTTTTGAGGATTGGCCTCACCCCTACATCATGCCTCACGCAAACCTTATACCCTCATGATCTCGGTTCGTTTATAATTTGCAAGGATACCAAGATTTTTGAGACATCTTATAGGGTATGTTTGGTATGGACGGAAGTGGTCTAGACTAGACGGGAGAGCTGAGAGTGAGATAGGCTGGTGAAATAAAATTTTGGGGTATTAATTTGATATGGTAGTTTAGCAATTAAACAATCTTGGTGAATAAAATAGCCAATTAGGCCTCCCCTCTTCACTTTATAGCTACCTTTTCAACAAATTGACCAAAATAGCCTTAAACTAAGCAAGTAGCAGCAAAGCAACTTGTGTAATCTACTTTTTCCAATATTATATTCAGGAAAATTAGACATTACACAAGTCCACGGAGGAGTGTAACCCACATAGACACGCCACCTATACCTTACGGAAGTAGCACTTACACAATTTGCATAATGTCTAATTTTTCATATTATTTTACTGGAAAAGTGGGTTATGCAAGCAGTGAATGGAGGTGGCTATAAACTGAAGGGGGGAGGACTGATTAGCTATTTTCGACAATTTCCCTATATTTTTCCCTAGATCTATGCATCTTGTTGCTTATGGTTCTTTGCAGGGAGGGCAACTTCTACACTGGGGATTTTACAATCAACTGCAACATTAATGACGATCTCTTTGATCGGCTGCAAGAACCTTGCGGTGCGTACATTCTGGTGATCTCTGTTCTGTCCAGTGTACCAAATGCACCCTTATTGTTGTTTTAGTATGATTTGGTTTTGATTTGAGTGTAAGGCTCGGTCCTTGGTCGTTATCCGTCTTGTTCCTAACCAGGTTCTCAACTGGGCCAAGATCGCGATGGTGCGGTCATCTTTGATACCTCTGCACTTAACTATGACCTTGGTGGCATGAGAGAGGACCCTAATGCTGGAATATTGCTACCAAGCCAACATTGGCTTTTACAACTTGGGGTTTTCATGGAAACAACCATTCTAAATCATTGGGTAGAGACCAAGTTTGCGTACATCCCACCCCCAGACTCCACCCTGGGTTGGATATACCTTCTCTACTTCTTTGAGTAGATGTCAGGTCTGTGTATGTCTTGCCCCTGGACTCCACCCTGAGGGTGGGATATTCTCTACTTCTTGGAGTAGATGTAGAGTAGATGTCAGGTATGTGTACATCTCACCCCCATACTCCATCTTGGAGGTGGGGATATACCTTCATTACTTCTTGGGTTGGATGCCACGTATGCGTACATCTCACCCCAGACTTCACCTTGGGGGTGGGATATACCTTCTCTACTTCTTGGGTTAGATATCAGGTTTGTTTCCATCTCATTCCCAGACTCCATATTGGGGGTGGGATATACCTTCTCTACTTCTTGGGGTAGATATCATGTCTGCATATATCCCATCTCAGACTTCAAGGGTGGAGTTTGGTGGTGCGATATACCGGGAATGTTGGAGTATGGTGGTGGGATATACCGGGGATGTTTGGTTATTCATTCAATAGTACGGTTTTTGGGAGAAAGAAAAAATCTGTTGTGCTTGTAAAAAACGGATGAAGTTTAAATTTCGAAGTATCAGCCATGTTGAATGGTGTTTGTAGACAATATTTCTCATGCACACAAGTCCCTCCGATGGCGTTTACGAGTTGTGTATGGGATGGTTTTACTAGGTCCCATAAGTTGAGCCAAGTTACTTGGGCTCGGATGTGATTCTAGCTTGATCAACTTCGGGTCAACTTGAATACGAGTGATAGTTTCTCTGTTTTTGCCTCGTAAACTCCTGTTTCCCAACTCTTAAACACTTTCCAATATTCAGGTGCTAGTCTTGGTTCGTTCAAAAAACTTTGTATTTGGTTCCGAGTCTCACTTTGTAAATTTTTTCGACAAACTTTCCGAAGCAGTCTGGTTATATATATATATATATA